AGGTGGAACAAAAAAGGAAGGAAAGCGAGAGAGGATGACGGGCGGAAGCAGAAAGGAAAGGAGAAAACAGGAAGGATGGAGAGAAGAAGGATGACAGAAGGAGGACAAAGAGGAAGAAAGAAAGAGAAATGGAAAAAGGAGGGGTATGGATAGGGGGGGACGAAGGGAGGGTGGGGACAAAGTATGTATGGGTCGCTCATGGCCAGGTCGCGGTAGGGGAACGGAACAGATATGTGAAGGGTTCGAGAACGCTCCCTTAAAAAGCGCCAATGTATTTCCTAACAGGAATAAAGCAATACTACTACTACTACTACTAAAATTATAGTTATAAAAGTTAATTAATATTTTTAAGGAAAGACAACAAGATACCGCATTAATTATTATGATTTCATGTAAAATTTAATTTCAAAAATTTAAAAAATGTTACTAAATAGTTATACCGTCACTTATCATATAATGTTAAATTTATACACTCGGAAAGCCCTATAATTTTAGTGTATTTTTCGTAAGGGTTGCCATATATCCGTTAGGATAGATCAGGGGGTCGATTATAAATTTTTTTACACACGTGAAAAGTGACAAATTTCTCCATTGCCTTCTTCTTCTATGTCCTTCGCTAGAAAAAGTAGGCAATGGAGAAATTTTTCACTCTTCACGTGTGAAAAAATTCATGATCGACCTCCAGACTACTCATGTCTGATTGGATCCAAGCAAATACAGATTATTCTTGTCATATCTGACCTCGTCCGCCAGGATCAGATTAGATCTACTCATGTCTGAGTGGATCTGATCAGATATAGATTATTCCTATCCTATCTGACCTCGTCCGCTAGGATCAGATTAGATCTACTCATGTCTGATTAAATCTGATCAGATATAAATTATTCTTATCCTATCTGACTCTGTCCGCTAGGACCGGATCAGATCTACTCATGTCTGATTAAATCTGATCAGATAGGGCCAATATTTTGATCAAATCAGATCTGAGCGAATTGGATCTGAATTGATCTGATCAGGTCTGTTCAGATCTTTTCCATTTTTTCCCGGGATGTTATTCGCTTTCATTTTTGTTTTATAATGACTAAATTTATTGAATTGTTTGAAACGCCACACTACGGTAATCATGGATAAAGAAACATATAAAAATAAAATGTTATCCCTTCTGAACGATAGATGCACGTACAATATAATTAAAAAAGACCCCACAAAAAACTTATTGGAGGTCTCCACGAATTGCTCGCAAGGTGGAAAAAATTTAAATATACCTATAGATGAGACTACCTATAAAAGATGTAACTTTACGGATGGTGCCCTACCAAGAGCCTATGGATTGCCAAAGATACATAAGATAGGTTACCCTCTACGGATTATCGTTTCTTCCGTCAATACTCCACTTTATGCGTTTGCCACCTGTTTACATAAAATCATTAACTCTGCAGTTCCTAAACCCAATAGCCATGTAATGAACAGTTTCGAATTGATTAACAAATTAAACGGACTCCACGTAGACCAAGAGTACGATATCATTTCATTAGATGTGATATCACTCTTTACTAATGTACCGATAGAATTAGCTGAAGAAAGTATATTAAAACGGGGGCATCACATAGGTTTCAAATGCACAATTCCATGTGACGAATTCTTGTTGGCTATTCGGTTTGTATTAAATTCCACATTTTTTTCTTTTGACAAAACATTTTACCAACATTTTGCCTTTGGCACACCCATGGGCTCTCCACTATCACCGATTATAGCGGACATTACTATGCAGGACCTCGAGATTAAAGCACTTGAAGCCCTGACGTTTGTTCCACCTTTTTACGTCAGATATGTGGACGACATCGCGATGTCGGTTCCTTCTTCACAAAAAACTTCCACACTCGAGACATTTAATTCTCTCCACAGTAGAATACAATTTACTTTAGAAGAAGGAACCGACAAACACTTGAATTTTCTCGACACCACTATCATTGTTAGAGACGACACGATTGAATTCGATTGGTACCACAAACCGACGTTTTCTGGCAGATACCTCAATTTCGCGTCGTCTCATTCGTTGTGTCACAAAAAGGGCACCATCAAATGCTTAACCGACCGAGCAATACTTTAGCCCATCCAAGATTTCAACAAAAAAATTTCAAATTCGTGATTGATATTTTACTTGAGAACGGCTACTCCCTCCCCCTTATTTTTCAAACAATAAGGGAGAGAATAAACATTTTAATCAGAAATCGAAAATCAAATTCCACGGCAGCCACCATTACGAATACAACTAATAACGATAAGGGCAGATTTTTCAACATTCCGTATATCCCAAATACATATATCTGAAAAGTTCACACAGGTGGTCAAAGATCTCAATACAACTCTATCATACACAGGTTTACAGAAACTTAGAAACTTTATAAAAGTTCATAAAGACCCACTTCCAACGCTCGCACGCAACAATGTAGTTTACAAAATCTCATGTAATGATTGCAACGCATCATACGTGGGCCAGACTAGAGTTCCTCTAGTAAGAGTTTGGCCACCTAGTTAACGATTTTTGATTGGTTCTTCGATCCGCCATATGCAACTGCCAAGAAGGGCGGAAAAAGTAAAATCCTAATTATTGAATGTAGCGAATAACTTTGAGAACTATATTTCTTAGATCTGTACATATTTGAAAAGTTTCAATAAGTACTAAATTACGCTTTAGATTATTTTTTAGAGAAACGATTCATGATTTAAGCAATGCTTTACTTCTAGTAAAATAGGTTAGTACAAGTCTTGTTGCTTGGTTTATATCAACTAATCTGTTTATACAAATTACGTGTAAGTATTCTTTTAAGAGTAAGTACCAAATAGGAGATTCAATTAGTATATCTTCCATTAAATTTATGTAGTAAGTTGGATAAAGTGCTATAAAAATATACAAATATTGAAATAACTATGTCTGACTTATTTGGAATTATTTTTCTTGAGAGGTTAATAGCAAATTTATATGTAAAACTTTTAATATAATCATTTGCAGTATCAAGTGGACCGTAGCCATATTCATGTATCGCGCCAATCCCCTTCCACTGTTTGACTATAAATGGCGTACGGTGTCCGAACTCTTACTAGAGGAACTCTAGGCCAGACCAGTAGAGTACTAGCCACTAGAGTAAATGAACACCGTAAACATATTAATAGAAACACGAAGCAAATATCAGTCATAACGGAACATAGACAATCTGGCCATGAATTTGACTGGGATAATGTTGAAATCTTGGATGAAGAACGTTTTCTTTTCAGGCGTCTCATCTCAGAAATGATTTATATTAAACGCCAAACTAACGGCCTCAATTTACAAAATGACACGGATCTCCTGGGTGATTTATACAACCTAATCATCCAGGACCTAAGTAGAGTTTGACTATTCATTCATTTATTTATTTATTTATTTATTTATTTATTTTTCCTTATTTTAAGTTTACCATTTTAATTTCCATGGATTATACTTCCATTTTAATTTTTTTGACCAACTCTTTACAAATTTAACACTTCAACCTTTAATATTCTGACACAAGTTTAGTTTAATTATCGATAAATGTCCACCATATTCAATTTTGAATTTTTAATCAAGCTCTGTTTGAGTTGAAACTCTGGATATTCAAACGTTATTTATTGATCGAGTTTTAAAATTTTTAATGACTAATTTTTTACATCTATTATATCTTAATTTTATTTTAATTTAATTTTAATTTTACTTTTTTAATTTCTACATTTTATTTTGTTGACCAAATTTATTAACTTATTACAATTTTATAATTTTAACTAACACAATTGTTAATTTATTATGACGTTTGACATGTTTAGACAAATTTTAAATTTTGCGCCGTTTGTTTTTCGGTAAACGACGATACATGACCAATGTCTTGTTTACCACACTTATTTAAGTCGCACTTCGATATTGCTGTGTCACAGTCGTGTTAAATCCATTACAACGAAGTCATCTCAGTCGACGTGTCTCCAGTTCTCTTTATGTCCGGGAACATTTAGAGAAGAAGCATGAGACCATGATAGAAAAAGAAAAAAAAGAGATTCTCAAACCATATATTTAACGAGGTAACATTATCATCCACCAAATCAAACGAAGCTACCAATCTATTATATTATAATACATTGTACTCACATCCTGTATTTGCTATCTTTATTATAGTTATACTGAGGAAGACCCGAAACAGGGTCGAAACGTTTATATTAAAGAGAGAAAGTATTTATAAATTTGTGAGAACCGTCTTCCGTTCATTTGTTGGCTCGCATTGGCACTTTTCCCCGTTCCATACAATGAATTATATCCAGGTAATTAACACACACACACACACACACACACATGCACGCACGCACGCACGCACGCACGCACGCACGCGCACACGCACACGCACACGCACACGCACACGCACACGCACACGCACACGCCACGCACACGCACACGCACACGCACACGCACACGCACACGCACACGCACACGCCACGCACACGCACGCACACACACACACACGCACACACACACACACACACACACACACACGTGTTGGTTCATATATGTTTTATATACATACTATATGTTTCTCCTAAACATATCTAATGGTTTATCGAACACTTCGAAGCATTCGTAGCGCCAAGTGGACCGCAGCCTACACCTCACAACACAAAAGCTAGTGTCAAGCCTATCACACAATGCCAGGCAACAGGCAACAGGAACAGGAAATAGAATTTCTAAGGCTGGATTCACATGGAGAGTAACTTGCATAGCGTAACCTGCGTATCACCAATCACAGGGTCATTCCGATAGAACCGTTTCAATAATTCCGTTGAAATAGTTCTGCGATTGGTGATATGCAAGTTACGCTTACGCAAGTCATTCCATGTGAATCCAGCCTAACGCGTTGGATTGGTTGGAAGAAAATTTCCGACGAATCCAACGCGTCAGAAATTCTATTCCCTATTCCTATTGCCTGTTGCCTGACATTGTGTAATAGGCTGCATTTGTTTTCATGTTTCTCTTTTTCCCGCCCGCCCTTGTTCAGTTGTTCCCTTGGTAAATGGCAAGGGCTACTTTATCCGGGATATAATAACCGTGTCACACTAGCGGTTCGCGTTGGCGTTGCCGTTGGCGTTGCCGTTGGCTGCTGCGAGTTGCGGAGTGGTAACTAGCTAGTTACAAGTTGTAAACCATTGCAACACCAAATTTACATTCGAATGTTGACAGTTGCAAAGGTTAATTTCGTGAGCAGTGAGTAGCAACAGCATTTTAGTAAATTACCAAAAATTTTTTAGTAACTTACTAATAAATCTTAGTAACTTACCTAAATATCGTAGTAATTTACTAAAAAGCTGCTGCTGCTCATTGCACAAAAGTCTTACCTTGAGATGTCAAGAAATAACCTCAAGAAATTAAATGAATTCGGCAAATTAGAGTTCAACAGCGAAGAAGAAATTATGACAAAGTCGATTAACGACAGTTAAGACGTATCGAATCTCGCGATGCTGCTCGCGATAGCGGGTGGGATCCAAAGTTAAGAGGTTACTTCGTGCAAGAAGGAAATATCGTACCAGAAAGAAGAAAAAAAAGGAGTGAATAAACAGCTTGTAAGGACTGGAGCGGGTAAGAATCTATCGAAGGTCGCATCGAATTTCAGGAACGTCGCAATCGTCGCACAGCAGAATCATCAATCCTGGCACTCCTCGAGAAGACTTTCCCTTTGTAAGCAATATTGATCGAGCGACGTTATTTGTCGCGATTGTGTTTCCTTACGAGCTTTATTTGCAACAATAAAAATCGAATACCTTGCCATTGATTGAATCACTCCGCAGGAACGATTTCTTGGACGCGACTGAACGAGTGTCTCTTTTATATAATCTACTATACCGGTGAGACGCCCGCCTAGTGAGAGGGAGGTTCAGGTTCAAACTCTGGCTGAGGTGATATTTTTCGCAAGAACTTTCAAATAAAAATTATCCCGAGTAGAAATTGTGGTGCTATTTCGACACTTTCAAGGACAATTTACACCTACTTAGCTGATCTATACACCTACATAGACCAGCAATAACGGGAGCGTCCCGTTTGGCCACGTTAATATTGACCACAGTCCCGATTGACCACGTTAATATCGACCACGTTGTGTATGACCACGTTGATATTGACCACGTTGCAATTGAACACGGTCCCGATTGACCACGGTCCCTATTGGCCACGGTCCCGATTGACCACGTTGCAATTGACCACGGTCCCGATTGACCACGTTGCAATTGACCACGGTCCCGATTGACCACGTTGCAATTGACCACGGTCCTGATTGACCACGTTGCAATTGCCCACGGTCCCGATTGACCACGTTGCAATTGACCACGGTTTCGATTGACCACGTTGCAATTGCCCACGGTCTCGATTGACCACGTTGCA